TATTTTAATATAATCTTTGATTCAGAGATAACTTGACAACCTTCTGATACGTCCTGATGTTTTGGACAGGTTGTGTAAATCGGCGTCATATTACCGATTTATAACGCTATAGCACATTGCAGAAGCTGTTTCGTAGCAGACAAACATACTTCTAAATGATGCAGAAAATCGTAAAGCAGATGTAAACCCAACACGTCGATCTACTTTGATAAATGTGTCTGAAAAATACGAAGAAATTAATGAAAAAAGAATTAGATGAAATGAAAAATGATGTTGAAGAGAATCTCTATGGTTTAGAATATAGACTGGTCATGAAGAAGAATGAGGATACCACAAGTTTATCTATATGTCGACTCTTATTCATGCTAGACATCACAAGAAAGTTACAGGAAATGTGTATACGAAGTATCCAACTTACTGACACCATCCAACTTGAGGTTGAAATAGTTGATACTAAGTATGTGGCTTAGGATGAGAAATTCGACTAATAAATACTCTATTACAGAGCTCTGGCTGCAACATCTTGATTTTCCTTAAACCTCACCACCATTTACACGACCAGACACGGTGTCATTTTTCTCACGCTTTGAAGACTAGATCGAAACAAATTCAAGCTCAAGGTTTATGTTAAACCACTTGAACCTCCTAAAAGTATAAGCAAATTTAAAGTGTGAAGAAAGTTAAATATAATCTTTGATTCAGAGAATCTTCTCTCTAATCTTATATCTTATAGACTAGGTAATCATGCATTTAGAGTACTTTTCTTGCTGCTCTTATCCCCGGCAGTCTAAAAGCCATCTTTTCTTCTTCACTTTTTCCTCAAGGTCATCCTCCTTTTTTCTCTTATCTTCTTATATCCTTCCCCACTTTCACCTCTCGATCTTGCGATCTCAACTCCTATCATTGTAAGTCTCTTAAACTCTTAAATAACTATCTATGGTTTGCTCCAAAGACTTCTATGGTTACATAACATTATTATAAGATGAATCCTAACAACCTTATATATCTTTGCATTCCGTTGGAATACTTTTTTTTTTGTTTGGAATGTGGCAGATATAATAAATAAAGATAGTTATCTATTTAGTCCGTGTCTATTTTTGAAGTATGAATTTTACGTTTGGACGGTTTGGATGATAAGATCTATGGAAAGATACTATGAGAAAGGTAGGAGTTGGAAATGGACATAGAACATTGAAATTCTGCAGGGCAGAGACACGTAAAAAGATATAGTGAGGAAGATATTGTGTAGGTAAGGTGGAAGCAGTGGCGTATCTACAAGGGGGGCTGGTTGGGCGAAATTTGATTCATCATTTAGAGTACTTTTCTTGCTGCTCTTATCCCCGGCAGTCTAAAAGCCATCTTTTCTTCTTCACTTTTTCCTCAAGGTCATCCTCCTTTTTTCTGTTATCTTCTTATATCCTTCCCCACTTTCACCTCTCGATCTTGCGATCTCAGCTCCTATCATTGTAAGTCTCTTAAACTCTTATATAACTATCTATGGTTTGCTCCAAAGACTTCTATGAATACATAACATTATTATAAGATGAATCCTAACAACCTTATATACATATCTTTAGGTTCTGTTGGATTATGAGACGGTGGTGAGATATGCGAGATATGAACAATAAGAGAAGAATACTGGTTTGGAATGTGGCAATAAGGACAAAGAATTCCGGAAAAATTCAATGAGATTGTGAAAAGAGAGATAAGATTGGAAAGGCAAATAATGGAAGCATTCTCAAATTTATAGCAAAAAGATGAAATGTACTGGAAGATAATTAGACATGATGTAGTAGGGAAGAGTTTTAACGCGAGAACTGGGATAGAGATAGAATAGAGTGGGAGGAGGAGGATATATATAAGGAAGGTTGAAAAATAAAATGCAGAATAAAAAGAACAGGGAGTTGTTGCAATGGATGTATAATGAGGGAAGATATGGAGGAAAGTTTTCTATTTAGTCCGTGTCTATTTTCGAAGTATATTGGCCTAACCTAACCTAACATGTAGAGTGATGAAGAAGCAGAATTTAACGTTTGGACTGTTTGGATGATAAGATCTATGGAAAGATACTATGAGAAAGGTAATGGTTGGAAATGGACATAGTGGAAGCAGTGGCGTAACTGCAATGGGGCTGGAGGGGCGAAATTTGATTTCTTTTATTGGGCAACACAAAAATGTTGAAACTGACGAAAAAAATCAATCTGGAACTAGAAAAAAAACAATCAACCTCAAAAATTTTCCCTAACACTTAATCACCTTATCTGACTATAATCTTTGATTCAGAGATAACTTGACAATCTTCTGATATGTCCTGATATTTTGGACAGTGCAACAGGTTGTGTAAAACGGCATCATTTTAATAATTTTAATAGCAGACAAACATACTCATAAATGATGCAGAAAATCCTGAAGCAGATATAAGCCCAACACGTTAATCTACTTTGATAAATGTGTCTGAAAAATACGAAGAAATTAATGAAAACGCCAAGGAATTAGAATGTAGACTGATCATGAAAAAGAATGAGGATGCCACAAGTTTATCTATATGTCGACTCTTATTCATGCCAGACACCACAAGAAAGTTACAGGAAATGTATACACGAAGTATCCAACTTACTGACACCATCCAACTTGAGGTTGAAATAGTTGATACTCAATATGTGGCTTAGGATGAGATATTCGACTAATAAATGCTTTGGCTGCGACATCTTCATTTTCGACATTTTAATCACTTGAGCCTCCTAAAAGTATAAGCACATATAAAATCTGAAGAAAGTTAAACTTTGATTCAGAAATAACTTGACAACCTTTTCTCCAATCTTATATCTTATAGACCAGGTAATCATGTATTTAGAGTACTTTTCTTGTTGCTTTTATCCCCGGCAATCTAAAACCCACCTTTTCTTCTTCACTTTTTCCTCAAGGTCATCCTCTTTTTTCTCTTATCTTCTTATATCCTTCCCCACTTTCACCTCTCGATCTTGCGATCTCAACTCCTATCATTGTAACTCTCTTAAACTCTTATATAACTATCTATGGTTTGCTCCAAAGACTTCTATGGTTACATAACATTATTATAAGATGAATCCTAACAACCTTACATATCTTTGAGTTCTGTAGGATTATAAGATGGTAGTGAGATATGCCAGATATGAACATTAATGAATGTTCATTAAACAGAATATGGACATTAAAAAGAGAGAAAAACGAAAGCCAGGAGAAAACAAATTAGAGAAGGCAAAAATAATAAGAATACTGGTTTGGAATGTGGCAGGTATAATAAATAAGGACAAAGAATTCCGGAAAAATTCAATGAGATTGTGAAAAGAGAGATAAGATTGGAAAGGCAAATAATGGAAGCAAATTTGTAGCAAAAAGATGAAATGTACTAGAAGATAATTAGACATGATGAAGAGTTTTAACGCGAGAACTGGGGAAAAGATAGAATAGAGTGGGAGGACGAGGATATATAGGGAAGGTTGAAAAACAAAATGCAGAATAAAAAGAACAGGGAGTTGTTGCAATGGATGTGTATTGAGGAAAGATATGGAGGAAGGTTGTTTATTTAGTCCGTGTCTATTTTCGAAGTATATTGGTAATCTACCAAGTAGAGTAATTTCATGAAGAAGCAGAATTTAACGTTTGGACAATTTGGACAGTTTGGATGATAAGATCTATCGAAAGATACTATGAGAAAAGTAGGAGTTGGAGATGGAAATAGAACAATGNACCTAACAAGTAGAGTGATGAAGAAACAGAATTTAACGTTTGGACGATTTGGACAGTTTTGATGATAAGATCTATCGAAAGATACTATGAGAAAAGTAGGAGTTGGAGATGGAAATAGAACAATGAAATTTTGCAAGGCAGAGAGACGTAAAAAGAAGATATAGCTAAGAAGGTAAAGTGGAAGAGATAGATAGTGGAGATCGATTTTATATATGTCACATAGATGGGGAAAAAAACATTAAAAATAGATTAAAATGGCAGGAAGCATAACATGTTGAAGAATATGCAAGAGAGACATCGGCGTTGTGGTTTCCAACTCCAAAGCGACTGCACCAGAAAGTAACTCAATTCTAAAAGTTAACCATAAAGCATCTGCATCACAAAATTACCTATTCCCGAAGGATATCAGCTTGCTGTATTTAACAACAATTTAATTCAACTGCAAACCAACCCAATCCCAAAACAACTCAACTCCAATGAGAACCTCAAAGCAAACCAGCTAAACTGAATTTAAGCCAGTTAACCCAATTTCGAAGCAACATACCTCAAAGTAACCTAACTCACTTTCAACATAACTAAATGTGCTGGTTCTACACTTAATGTTGTAGAATGGCAACACTATCTTGGTGAATCCTCCAGTTCGCAAACTTTTGCAAATAAAACTGTGTCATTAGTAAACAAAGATATGTCATCTGTTATAGCCTGGGTGATGCCATGCATGTATATATTATAGAGAATTTGGGGATAGAACGGAATTTGATTTCGTAAAAATCTCGTAACATGTTGGATTGTATTAGGTGCGAATGATGTGGTGGGCATTTCTCGAAGTGAATGCTTGAATTAGATGTTTTGCGAAATTTCTTGCCGTTTCTTCATCAGTATAACAAAGTTTTCAGTTTTCCATGATAATTGCAGAGTATGTTCCAGTAACTCACTCTATGGACAATTAATTGTATCTTTATTTTAGCATTAGTTTCAGGATTTCTTAGCTGTTACAATTCCTGACAAGCGTAATTCTTTTGTATAATCAATGCAATAATTTCGCGCAGAATAGTATGAGCCTGGGTTGATTATTGGTATCTAAGATAATTTTTTCATTCGTTGTATCGCTTTTAACTACCACATTGAGATAATCTGAGTCAAGTTCATCTAAAATACTTCACATAAAGTTAGAATTAGAATCGCACTCTGCTTTTTGATACCATTGGAATTTTTTCCAATTTTTGAGTGTTAAATTAAGATTAAAAATTTTTATAAAATGAAACAAATAATTCCAAGCAAACTTGCTTTATTATTGATTCACTTGCATATATAAACTATAATTACAACACAGTTTCTATTAATATAAATAAAGAAATATTATAGATACAAAAAATACATAGCCATTATGAGAACAGTCGGTTTACAACATTTAAAAAAAAACTAAATCCAATCCGATCCAAATTCATAAATTCTTTTAATAACCACGATATCCAGTATGCGGAGGAATGTAAGCGCCTCCACCAGATCTGTACTGACCATCATCATAAGCCCCACCTCCTCCTATCCTATTTTGATCCAAAGATCTCAAAATCGCGTCGGGAATTGGTGGTGGAGTCGGTAAATGGGCACCAACTGGTCTAAATCCATTTTCATCGGCGGTATAACTGATCGAATATCTTTGTCCGTCGGGACCTGTGTAAGAATAAGAACCTTGTGCGGCGGTTCCTTGATCCGGACCTGGTCCGCCACGTCCGCTTTCCTGAGCTTGAATTCCATTTCCGGTTTCGTAAGCGTAACTATATGAACCGTCCCCTTTATTTGGATTATTCTCGTATCTTACAATTGGGATGTGAGCACCTCCACCGTAACCGAATCCGCCACCGAAACCACCTCCAGCTCCAAATCCACCGCCGGCACCAGCTCCACCTCCAAAACCACCTCCGTATGGGTATCCACCGCCGCCACCTCCACCTCCGTGTGTGAAAGCACCGTCTAAACGGGCTGGGAATGTTAATCCAAATAATGCCAAAAGAATGAACTAAAATAAAAGTAAAAATTGTTATAAAAATTATAGTTGATTAGATTATTATTAAGTAACCGTCGTTGTTTTAAATTTCATAAGATTCATTCTTTCCTGATTAGAATATTAATGTAACTTTATTGGAATAAAATTACCATATTGATGAGACGTATTATAAAAGGGCAAAGTCTCATGAAAACAAAGTCTAGTGAATTAGAGAAAAATCAAGTAAAATAAGAATGTAAAGTACCGAAGAGTAAAAAGTTATTAAAAAATTAAATAATCTTATCTAAAATATATTGACGATGAACTTTTTAATAATTAAAAATATATGTTATTGATTTAACTTCTAAGAAACCTTATCTAAATATGAATAGTGCGCAAATACTTAATCTAATAAAAAATAAATAAATAAATAATTTCTTACTGATATCATTTTGTAAAGATGTTCAAGTTCTTAGACACAACTAGTGCATTTGGATCTGATCCGATTTAATTTATATAGTGAAAAAGCCGTTCGTTTTCCACCTCCACTTCATAAATAAAGATGAACCTTACCAACACTTATTAGCTGTTAAAGGCCCCACCAATAATCCAGATCATCATCAGGCAATTTAGGACCGGCAAAGAAGGTATAATGCCAAGAGTACGGGGCGAGGCCCCAGGGAAAGGCCCCACGCCGTAAAAGTAAACTTGTAATAACCGCCGGAGACGCTCAAGGATTCAAGAGGACCAACGACGACGCCATCAGGCGACGCCCCAAGAAAGAGAAGAGTTACACCTAAAAGGATCGCCGGTTTCTTCAAGGATGAGAGTTTGATGAAGAATTCCGGATGCCATTGAGGTGATCTTGCGCCTTCAGCGAAGAATCGCGGACACGATCTGCTCTTCTTATGGGAAAATGGGTGGATGAAAAGAATCGGCCGACGTGGGCGTCGTTCCTCGAGCGATCTTACTTAATAATAATATGGTTTTGATTATTACACATCATATATCTTGAGTCAAGATTACGCCATTTATAATTCATCAAAACAAATTTAAAAAACAAAATTTCCATTCTTTTTTTATCCCTGACATTCATCTTAAGGCATAAATAATATTCGAATGCTCTCAATAAAATTTACAATTGTTGTAGCATTTCTCATAAAAACGACCGGGTCTCATCCTTGAAATTTCTGCCTTTATTGATAGAGAATCCGAATCGATTGAAAGTTGAAACTTGAAGCGGCCCGGTCGCGATTATTAGTTATTGCGGCAGAAATTGTATGGCGCAGCGGCAAATACCACCATGGCAGGAAAGAAAAGACGTAAAGTAATAAATTGTATAATCGAAAGTATTCGATCTTTTGAGGAGTGCTGACCCATCATCTTCTTCCCAAACTCGCCTTCAAATTTAACAAAAGACCATTTAATAAAGTGGTCATCAATTAGCATATTACGTTATTCAACCATTCATAGGCATTCAAATAATAACTTCAACATTTTATAATTATGCAAAGAATGTTTTTATAACAAATTTGATATTTTAATTTTCTTTATGACGTTTGTCAAATTAGTCTCTGAAGATGGCACATAGCCGAAATTAGTAAGACTCATAAATTTGTTAATTAAAGACTACAAATGCGTTGAGATACTTAGGATCTCGATGAACACAACAATTTGTCTATCTATTACAAATTTGTCACTCAATAAGCTAACTGAAAAAGGTAATTTTAGAACAATTAATACATCACGATGTTGAACAAGCACAAATCGAAAACCAGAAGAGATGGGGTACAGAAGAAGAGCATCAGAGAAGAACTAAGCTTAAACGTCCTGGTACAGGAAATAGAGAGAAAACAACTTAGTTGGATGGCCATCTGGTTCGAATAAAAGAAGATAGAATACATAAAAAAATGTTCAACATGAGGGCAGAAAGAAAAGGTAAGCGTAGTAGACCAAAAGCCCAATAGGAGGAAGAGATTCAGAAGATGGTTGAAAGAAGAGGGAATAGCCAAAGTGATCCAAGATGCCCAAGATGGATCCAAAACCCAACACCGTAAGGTATAAATGGGGGCAAGAGAAAGAAGAAAAAGTGAATATTCACAAAACTATCTTAGACTAATATTTTGGATTCTAACCTCGTCATCTACTTACATACTAAATTGTCTATTGTATGCTCTGAACAATTTCGATGAGCTTTTAAACCATGCTGATGTTCACAGATACGCAACTCGTAATCGTTGTAATGTGTATGTTGATATGTATGACGCAACGGGGTCCAACATACATGTGTAAAAAGCTATTTAATAAGTTGCCGTTGAATGTCAGAAGCTTTCCGTTTCTTACCATGAAACGTTAACTGACACATTTCTTGGCTTCGAATGCGTTTTATTCCGTCGATAAATTTTTAAAATGTAACATTGATATTTCTTAGTAAGTAGATGTGAACCTGTAAATTGAACTGACGAGTGTAAGAGAACTAGCTTATAGCACAATAAAGATTATGATTATGATGATTAAACTTTAATTCCACCTGTAGTATTGTGGTCAAGAATTTTTAGAGATGCTGAATAATTTTCCGCTACAGTCAGCCATCAATCAGCTTGGTGCGAGCATAAAATCGCCGCCAGCTAGCCAGTATTTGTCAGCGGCTGGTGAAATTGGACACGTTTTATTTTGGTAGCAAGGCAGCGGTGACTAGCAGGTCACGTGACTCACTCGCACCCGCAGCCAGCAGCGCACAGCATAGTCTGACCACTCAAGCAGTGCATCAGCGGCAGGTGCCACGTGGTCCACTTGAAATAACCGCTTGAACATCGGTAGTTTAATCATTATGTAGTTGTATCAGCTTTTCTTTCAAAATATGCATGTGTAGTAGCACTAAATGAATGGTAGGCTTTTTGTTTTAAACGGGTGTAAAAATAGAATCAACCTATCTAAGAGATATTTTTGAATTCCATAAAGACAAATTTGGGTTCCATAGTGAAGTGCACTCTTGCCTAACTGTCGTCTCCAACCACTGACAGATACCACTCCGTTTAAGGTATTCTGTTAAAGATTTACAACGTATACATAACTGCAAAATACATGGGGCTACTTCTCTCACTCTCTCTTCCTCTTACTTTCGTTCTCGTTATTTGTTCGATCTCTTCGTAATGTTGGTTGAGATCTGTTAGCGCCATGTTACAAAGCATTGTGTTAAGGGTACAATTTGCTACAACTTTTGTTATAAAAGCTTTTCTGTATCATGCTCCGGATACCGATTTTTTTTAACACTCTTCTAATTTTCATATTTTTGAAAAATTCTCTACATTGATGCATCTCGGAGCAAAAGTGTTGATAAGCAATGTGTTAAGGGTACAATTTGCTATAACTTTTGTTGTAGAAGTTTTTCTGTATCATGCTCCGGATACCGATTTTTTTTAACACTCTTCTAATTTTCATATTTTTGAAAAATTCTCTGCATTGATGCATCTAAGAGCAAAAATGTTACAGAGCATTGTGTTAAGGGTACAATTTACTACAACTTTTGTTGTATCATGCTCCGGATACCGATTTTTTTTAACACTCTTCAAATTTTCATATTTTTGGAAAATTCTCTACATTGATGCATCTGAGAGCAAAAATGTTACAGAGCATACAGAGCGTACATCCTCTTGAATTGGTGCTGGATGCCGCGGTCCATTTCGACGTCATTTGGTTCTACTATCACTACTTTCGTAGTTATTCTTTGTTGTTGTAATGCAGGGTTGCCCAAACTATGGCCGTAGCTCATGTAATAGTAGAATATTTTGATTAGAACTTGCATTTCCGAGTACCGTTTACCTATGCAGGGATTTTGGCAAAAACAGGTTGGGCATCACTGTTGTAATGGGTTTCCTTCGATTGTTTGTGTGTTCTTATAGTATTTCTCTTCCCACCTCCTATTCATCATTCTTCTCCAATCCTTGTAAGTCCATATTCCCCTTATTTCGACATCACAATCTTCCTCCTATCCCATTTTTCGTTCCTCTTCTGTTTCTGTTTGCGTGTACTGTTCTACTAGTTCTGTTTCTTTTATTGGTATGTTGCTCTTCTCCCCTAATATTTTAGCAGCTTTCGGCGCTCCTACGTTTTTTATCTCTTCCTTCATCTCATCCTCCTTCATAACATTTTGCAATCTTTCTAGCTTCGTAACCGCATCCTTTATCTCTCTGTGTTGCGTTTCACATTTGCTCTCAGCACCGCTATCAATTGCAACATCCTTACCATTGTCTGCACTAGCCTCTCTGCCTGTTTGTTGCTTCCGCCACTAGTTTCTTTTATCTCTTTCTTATCTTCCAGTTACATCCTCCTCTTTTCTTCTCTTCCTGCTATCTTTCTCCGGTGATCCCAGTTCATCCTCTCTTGAAGAATTTCTAAGGACTACGTAAGGTTTGCATCCTTAAAGAGTCCCTTTTGTCTCCTCTACCTCAACCACCGTCTTGTCCAAGTCGTCATCGTCTTCCTCTTCTTCACTCGTCTTCTCTACCTCTTTCCATCGACTTTCTTTGTGAAGCCGTCTTAGGTGGAGAGCAGCTCAACTGAGTACCTACTTCTTCTAAAAGGGAAGTCCTCTTTATTACTCCGGCCAGCAGAGCCCTGTATTAATCGGTATTCGTAGTAACGCGAAGCATATGGGCGGTCTGCGGCTCTTTTTGTCCTGCAGACCCAACCGGACACTTTTTGTTTTGAATCCATAAAACCCGTTTTTGGAGATGTCAAGCGCAGTGTTGTTAAATACCCGGGTATTTATTTTCAAGGGTAAATTTCCTGGATATATACCCGAGGGTATTTACCCAAGATGGGTATTTAGAGGTATTTATAAAATTTAATTTAAATTGAGTTGATGGCAGTTTTGATTATCGATTATTGTTACACCAAACTTGTTTATAACATCTACAAGAATGCTACAATGACGGCAAAATTACATAAACTTACTGATTGTGAGTAAACCAAGGCGATACAATGTTGAACCCAAATTGTTCATCACAGTCCTGGAGAATGCATTTAAACAACTGGATTGGACCCAAAAAGGCATAAACATTGATGGCAAATACCTAAGTAATTTACGCTACGCGGACGATATAGTTCTTATTTTGGATAGTCTTAGAGAGATGAAACTAATGGTAAACGACTTAAAGGAGGTGTGTGCAAGAGTCGGGCTAAATATTAACGTAAAGAAATCAAAATTTATGACAAATCTTGTTCTCAAGTCTAACATCAACAATGGGGATAATGAGATTGAGAGGGTTGACAGCTATGTGTATCTTGGCCATGAGATTCGTGTATGGAGAGATAATCAAACAGGCGAATTAAACAGAAGGACCACACTTGCATGGACAGTCTACGGGAAACTTAGAGACATCTTCAAGAGCGATATTCCTATATATTTGAAAAGAAAGGCAATCAATGCTTGTTTCCGCTTATGACATACGGCTCCAAAACATTAACATTAACGGTAGCCACTGCCAGGAGGCTCAAAGTAACGCAAAGACCGAAATGAAGACCTATGAAGAACAACTGATGTAGTCAATATTGTTGCAAAGTACAACAATTGGATTCAGACAGCACAGAATAGAATCGAATGGAACAGAATAGGGGAGGCCTATGTTCAACAATGGCTTGATGATAATAATCATAATGACTTGATCTAATCTAAATTACGGCAGATTCGTCTGATGATAATAAGTCTTCGATTGTTGACAATTCCTCGTCTTCAATGTCCATTTCATCATCTTCCTCTTCATTTTTTTCGGAAATTGATATATTTTTACTTGTATCACTTTTATACGTACTGTTTGGGTATTTACCCTGGGCCGGGGTAAATTCCCGGATAAATGCCCGGATAAATGATATAAATACCTACCCGTCAGATATTTACCCAGCGCCCATCACTGGTCAAGCGCCTTCCTTACGCTCCGTTTTATGCCTACCCGGCAGGCTTCCTTCTGGGGCTTGAGTATTCAGCCCCTTGGCTACAGGCTTCGCCTCTTGATGCCGTAGCGGTCATTGTGATAGCCCAACCCAACCCAACCGTTTTAGAGTACTATTTTCTTGAATGTATGTGTTAAAATTAGGTTCAGAACATGGGCAATACATTTAATGCGCGAATATTGTTCCAACGCCTTTTGATATTAGAGCCTTGATCTGTAGTAAAAGTCAGTTTTTCAAGTAAGTACCTCGTAAATTTAATGTTGCAAAGAGGAATGTTTTTGCAGAAATTTGATTTCTTGCCGAAATGTTAACAACAAAACCTTCGGGTTGTTTCATAGAAACATCTTTCTTTAGACATTTATCCTTTATACATCAAATTGTATGATATGTAGAAGAATTTTTTTTTCTAGGCGCTAATGAGTTAATCAAATATAGTACCATTAAAAAAAATAATAATCATTGTTATCTTTGTATGTAAATATTTGTATGATTCAGAACTCGATTTTTTGTGAAACTTTTTTAGAAACCCAACGGTTTGTGCCACCGTTTTAGAACCGCTAACATCTGGTGGTATTCGACCAACCAACAACAATCATCCAGCAGCCAGCAAAAGTATTTTTAACGAAGTCATTGAAAAAAACTAATTTTCGCGATTATGTTTGCGATACTACGTGTTTAGTACAGTTCAAAATAGTACAAATTAGTCATAGGAAAAAAATAAGTTTTTCACCTTGCATCGATACTACAATAAAAAAAAAATAAAATAAAAATATATTAACACCTACAGGTAAGCGATATATCCACGTCACTTAAAGAGTTAATTTACTTTTCATCATAAATCTAATATTTTATTTCCTTAAACTCAAAGTACTAAATTAATTGAATAAATTAAACGTCAACTTGACGTTTATTCATGTAGAAGAATATTTGAGGTTAGGTACCTGTCAAAAATATTTTTTTTTTATTATTTATAAAATCTTAATTAAACTAATTTCCTAATTTTGATCTCTTTTTTATTAATGTATAATACATAAAGAAAATAAATTATACACTTTATTACTTTAAATTATTTTGAGGTTATAAATAATATTATGAGTTTTTTTCGAGGTTATGTCACCTGTCAAAAAAAAAATCATGGATATAATCAAGACCTAAAAAAATGTTCCTTTTAAAAATCTCTATTTTAGGGAAATAATGTATAATCATCGCGGAAGAGGTAGAGGACGCGGTCGAGGTGTGTTTATGCGACGTCCTAATCGAAATAAGGAAACCGAAACAACAACATCGAGTACGCCCCATAATGACAACTCGCCAGTATCAATCCGTAGCACAACTGCCTCCTTAATAAACAAAGTAACAATTAATTTAGAACTAGATGAGGCAACGGAAACATGGTTCGCCCAATTTCGAAATTTATGGAATTTTGTTAAACGAAGTCCCCCAACGAGCAATATGTTAACTCAACATTTAGATACAGTTGAAAATCCTTACGAGCACGTCCTACGATTAATGTATAACAGTTTTGATTTTAAACTTGCTAAAAGTAAATCGTTAACAATGACGATAATGGAAGAATTTAAAATTTATAGTACGGTATCGAGAAATCGGATTCATCATTTGCTTACGTCGGAAATAAAAATTGCCGCTTTTAATGTGGTTAGAAAACAAAGTCAGTTTGGATTGATGAAATTAGTGGTGGATATTTATGAAATGCTGAACGACTGTGATATTTTTTACGATTTGATTGTGCAAATGATCGAAAATAAAGAATACAAAGACGCGTGTCAGTGTAGCTCCTTGTTGAGGTTACAGGATAAATTCGGAATTTACGAGTTTTTAGTTCCATTAGTACTTCAAGACAAATTAGTTATCGTCGAAGAATTTTTAAACGATAGTCCTCATCATCAATATGATTTAGTTTCTTATTTGGATTCGATTTTGGGGCAACCTTCAAGTATAAGAATTACATTAGACAATTATATTGTGTAAGAAACACTTTAATTTGATTAAATGTATCATTAATTTCCTTTTTTTTTGTAGAAAACAAGAAATTCCACATGTTAAATTTGAAAAATTGTCTTATAAACCGTGGAGAAAACTTATTGTGAGACTTATTAAAATTTACAACCTTCCCGCTGACGTTTCTCCTTATTTAAATAAAAAACGAAATGAAGGGGCTTTATATTTTCTTCTTAATAAACGATTTGTTGATCAATCTTTTGGTAGGATTAATCAAATAATATTGAATTAATAATGTTGATTGATTTATAGGTTATGAGAGTTGGAGAGAAATGGTAGAAGAAGCCGTACAAGATGATGAAAACCTCCAAAAAGACCTTGTAGTACAAATAGCCCTGTTTGGGACACCCTCAGAAGCTCTAATGTGGGCGAATTACTATAAAATACCGCGTGAAGATTGGCCCTACAGTGTACGATTATTTAATGATAATCCGGATAAAGATCGGTACAAAAATAAACCAGTTAAGCTTAACTCTCCGTTAGGCGCGCGGATATCCAGCAAATATACGCATATACAGGTGTCCGTAAAGTAAAGGATATAGGCGATAAAATCATTATAAACGAGTTACGGAAAAATCCCTGAAACGGGTCTAAAAATTTAAATTTTTTAGTGTAGGTCATGTTTTTCTGCCATTTTTAAACGAGTTATGACGTCATCGATATTTTTTTCACATGGCAATCCCCCATTTTTATTACAGCATATGAAAGAGGGTGCTTTTCTGAATCTAGTAGTCAATATTAATATTGGTTACATAAGAAAATGTTCGAAAAAAATTACTTTAAAGTTTAACTACTTCAAATTTGTTGATATGATAAAAATAGCAGTAGCCATGACTATGATAACCAATTATTTTAAACAATTTTCTAAGTGACAAAAAATGATTTGGTAAGTAGTTGATCTCCTTAACCAATTTAGTCCCACGCTGCTTTATATTTAAAAAAATCGGTTTTTACAATTTTACATGAACTAAGATGGAATGAAAAGTATAAAAATGTAGACAGGCGTTTGAAAAAAAAAATGTTTTATGAGATAGTGCCAAAATGCACCACTGGTAAGATAAACGAACAACAACACAAAAATGTTTTGATTACCATTTATTAACTAAGTAACAAATGGCTCATAAATAAATAATAATAGTAATACAACATAATACTAACAAATACCAACTTTAGTATGAAGTTTAATATAAAAAATATTTATACTAAAATTTTTGCAAAAACGCACCAATGGAATGAACAGTATAATTATTTATCGTGATACTTCGCAAAGCACTCATCATGTAAATGAACGTTAAACTTACTACACATATATTGACACACTATGTCCATAAACAAGCGGGTCCGCGGTTTTTCTTTTATCGCGAGTTAATCGAAAAAAGTACCCGATTTTTGAGAGTGCCAGCACCTTTGCGATTTTTTTTCTCGAAAACTATCGTATGAAAAAATTTCAATTATGAAGAGGTAGTCTGGTGTGTTTTTAATAAGGAGCATATTTTATTTTTACGATATTCCATATAGTTTTGCGGAAAATCGCGATTTAGTTGGACGCCGTTATGTCCAAAACGGCTGGGTGGATTTCAACGCGGTGTTAGCCAAAATTTGTCAAATAATTGCGTTTGCTAGATACTGTTATCAGTTTTTCAAAGTAATGTCTCCCTAATTTTTTTAGAGCGATTTATCGAATTGTAAATTAAAACGGAACAGAAATAAGCCATGCGGAGAGAGGAGGGTTTCGTCCAATCGGAAAAGATGATCCTGGTGTGTGTTCCAGAGACAGCGCGCCTTATTTCTTTATGTAGGTGTCCTGACTTCTTACTTTTTGAGGAAACCTTAACTGGAGGGAGATATTTAGATTTTTTCGAAACGATATCATAATGTTGTCCCACCTCAATTCCAATGGCAGTTATTCCAGCAAGAATATGTCAAGCAAATTTGAAGAAATAATTTTAAAGTAACTTTTCTCGAACATTTTCTTTTGTAACCAATATTAATATTGAGTATACTAGATTCAGAAAAAGATCCTCTTTCATATTCCGTAAAAAAATTGGATGATTCCCATTTGAAAAAAATATCGATGACGTCATAACTCGTTTAAAAATGGCGGACAAAAATTGAAATCGTTAGACCCATTTCAGGGATTTTTCCATAAACCGTTTATAATGATTTTATCGTCTATATCCGTTACTTTACGGACACACTGTATGTGGATGGATGAATATCACGACAACTGTTCAATGAAAAAATTTGCAGTAAACTTTGTTATAATCACTGATTATTTCTACTATATTAACGTGAATTTGAACATTATTGGCTCCTCAGTTTTTTTTTGTATCGAATTAATCATAAAGTGACACCCGATTTTTGAGATTGCTGTAAATATCGTCACTTTATGAATTTTTTTATCAAAAAATATAAGACGAAAAATTTTGGTATTTCAACAGGTGATGTTCTGAATGCAAAGTATATTTTATTTTTTTCATATTTTATACAGGTGTCTTAGCGAGACCGTTCATTAGACGTTTCTGGGGTTCTGGCCAAAATAAAAATTTGAGAGTTCAGATTTAAATATTATCAATTGCGTTCTCTTTGACTAAAATACTTTCAGATTTCTAGCACTTCCGTTTATACCGAAAGTCGCCACCTACTTTATTTTTTTTAATGAAACCTGTATATTTTTACATATTTGGATTTGTCTGGTTTCAAGGTTTATGAATACCTTTATTTTTTGCAATTTGATTCGGCCGTTCCCGAGTTATACGAATTTTTCTAGAAAAACATTCTAGACATTTGTTCAAAAAATCAGAGAACACTCGATTTTTAGGATATCAATTTAGGATTCAGAACATGCTTAAGCAACATAATGGAGTATGTTTTGGTGCCGAGAACGGCTGTCTAGAACGTATGGTCACTTTACTATGCCACGTTAACTTTTCGAAAGTTGGAAGTACCATAACTTCATTTTTTTAAATGGCAACCCCCATATTTTATTACTTAGTCGTCTTCGGTGTCTCATTTTACATTTTTTATATCCCATATGTCCTATACCTAACTTCAATAGTTTGGGAGATAATTAGGGTTTTTTGAAAAATGCACTCATACAGGGTGATTCACATAAGAACCGACACAGAGCAGGGACATGTAGTGCCAAAAGGTTAAAAAAACATGTCAAAATTTAGGGTACCATCACCTTTAATTAACCCTTTGAAATGCTTCAATTTGCTACCAATTAATACCCTTGGTACACTCATAACGTATACCAAATTTGGTTTTTCTAGCTTAATGTATTACGAAGAAATTGAACTTTTTTAAAATTTAGGAGTCAACTTTGAAGGCCTATAACTCATCAGGTGTACAACTTAGTATAGAGGTAAGTTACGTTAAATCATCTTAATTTATTGTCCTCTACATGTCCCTGCTCTGTGTCGGTTCTTATGTGAATCTTATAGAGGATATATCGCTATTTATTTTGCCATGGAAAACAAGCCTTCTCAATGAGTTTTTGTCAGTCTCACTTGTTTACGTCACATGATGCTTGTGAGCTAATAATTATCTGTTAGGTCCCTTAATATTAGTACTAAAAAGAGTTAAAATCGATAACAATAACCAAAATAATACCACAAATCAAGAAATTCTTAATTTATTTTTTATACATGAAAAGCGCGGCAAAGTTCGTAGTATGATTCCCAGATCTTCTTCGGCAGCTCAAATTGAGGCGTTGGGTCTGGGATCGAAATAAGCCAAGGTATTCACCTCTTCCGCTGCACTATCTATTACATTTTTTGGTCAGTTTAACACGTGATTAATTCGTCCAAAATACAAAATATTTGCTTCTATTCTTCTAAATTTACCTTTTGTCATCGGAGATAAATGTAGACAGTTTTCATTAAACATTCTGCAAGTTCTACTAAGAACTTTGTCGCACTTTCCGTGCATAAAAAATAAATTAAGGGTTTTTTTATTTCTATAAACATTCTTTACGTTATTAATAACCATTTTAACTGGTTTTAGACTTAGGTTGAAATTTGTTTTTTCATGTAGTTTCAAGCCTATACTTTCCGTTCCCAAACAAATAAATTACGAATTTTCAATAAAATGGCTAATATACAGGATACAGGGTGGTGTCTACGGATAGTCGACAGTAAATACTGAAAATTAGTTTTCAAACTATCAATCGTTTACAATTTTTCAGAATAACTATTTTTTATGAATTAATGTTAGTATGTACTAACTCTATTATTAGATCTAGTACTAGAAGTTTTCTGGCTTAACCGTGCGTCTTTAAAAAAAGAGTCACGATTCGGATATCATGTTGTAACCTTCTTCCCAAACAAGTACATAGTATTTTTTTAGTTAAAAAACGCCTACCCAACACACAGTAATAAAAAAGATTTTTTATACTCAATTGCAACTAATATTGGAAATTGTAGAACACAGTGAAGATGAAGAAAAATAAATATAGGTATAAAAAGAATTTTAAAACAGTATGTTGAAACACTAAATTTGCTTATGGGTTAAAACATAATTGGTAATTATATTATATTTAAATGGTATCATTACATTATTAAACATTTGTCAGAAATTAACACAGAAACNTCAATTGCGTTCTCTTTGACTAAAATACTTTCAGATTTCTAGCACTTCCGTTTATACCGAAGGTCGCCACCTACTTTATTTTTTTTAATGAAACCTGTATATTTTTACATATTTGGATTTGTCTGGTTTCAAGGTTTATGAATACCTTTATTTTTTGCAATTTGATTCGGCCGTTCCCGAGTTATACGAATTTTTCTAGAAAAACATTCTAGACATTTGTTCAAAAAATCAGAGAACACTCGATTTTTAGGATATCAATTTAGGATTCAGAACATGCTTAAGCAACATAATGGAGTATGTTTTGGTGCCGAGAACGGCTGTCTAGAACGTATGGTCACTTTACTATGCCACGTTAACTTTTCGAAAGTTGGAAGTACCATAACTTCATTTTTTTAAATGGCAACCCCCATATTTTATTACTTAGTCGTCTTCGGTGTCTCATTTTACATTTTTTATATCCCATATGTCCTATACCTAACTTCAATAGTTTGGGAGATAATTAGGGTTTTTTGAAAAATGCACTCATACAGGGTGATTCACATAAGAACCGACACAGAGCAGGGACATGTAGTGCCAAAAGGTTAAAAAAACATGTCAAAATTTAGGGTACCATCACCTTTAATTAACCCTTTGAAATGCTTCAATTTGCTACCAATTAATACCCTTGGTACACTCATAACGTATACCAAATTTGGTTTTTCTAGCTTAATGTATTACGAAGAAATTGAACTTTTTTAAAATTTAGGAGTCAACTTTGAAGGCCTATAACTCATCAGGTGTACAACTTAGTATAGAGGTAAGTTACGTTAAATCATCTTAATTTATTGTCCTCTACATGTCCCTGCTCTGTGTCGGTTCTTATGTGAATCTTATAGAGGATATATCGCTATTTATTTTGCCATGGAAAACAAGCCTTCTCAATGAGTTTTTGTCAGTCTCACTTGTTTACGTCACATGATGCTTGTGAGCTAATAATTATCTGTTAGGTCCCTTAATATTAGTACTAAAAAGAGTTAAAATCGATAACAATAACCAAAATAATACCACAAATCAAGAAATTCTTAATTTATTTTTTATACATGAAAAGCGCGGCAAAGTTCGTAGTATGATTCCCAGATCTTCTTCGGCAGCTCAAATTGAGGCGTTGGGTCTGGGATCGAAATAAGCCAAGGTATTCACCTCTTCCGCTGCACTATCTATTACATTTTTTGGTCAGTTTAACACGTGATTAATTCGTCCAAAATACAAAATATTTGCTTCTATTCTTCTAAATTTACCTTTTGTCATCGGAGATAAATGTAGACAGTTTTCATTAAACATTCTGCAAGTTCTACTAAGAACTTTGTCGCACTTTCCGTGCATAAAAAATAAATTAAGGGTTTTTTTATTTCTATAAACATTCTTTACGTTATTAATAACCATTTTAACTGGTTTTAGACTTAGGTTGAAATTTGTTTTTTCATGTAGTTTCAAGCCTATACTTTCCGTTCCCAAACAAATAAATTACGAATTTTCAATAAAATGGCTAATATACAGGATACAGGGTGGTGTCTACGGATAGTCGACAGTAAATACTGAAAATTAGTTTTCAAACTATCAATCGTTTACAATTTTTCAGAATAACTATTTTTTATGAATTAATGTTAGTATGTACTAACTCTATTATTAGATCTAGTACTAGAAGTTTTCTGGCTTAACCGTGCGTCTTTAAAAAAAGAGTCACGATTCGGATATCATGTTGTAACCTTCTTCCCAAACAAGTACATAGTATTTTTTTAGTTAAAAAACGCCTACCCAACACACAGTAATAAAAAAGATTTTTTATACTCAATTGCAACTAATATTGGAAATTGTAGAACACAGTGAAGATGAAGAAAAATAAATATAGGTATAAAAAGAATTTTAAAACAGTATGTTGAAACACTAAATTTGCTTATGGGTTAAAACATAATTGGTAATTATATTATATTTAAATGGTATCATTACATTATTAAACATTTGTCAGAAATTAACACAGAAATAGAGAATAGTTTACTCTATTACTGCAAATAAAATAGTAACAGTATTTTGTTAACTGCTTTTTTTTCGAAGACAGCTATATGATAAATACTCGAAATTTATGTAGAATCCATAAATGCAACACAAAAATGGGGGTTTCTATTTAAAAATGTCAACTTAGGCATGGTATTTCAATTTTGGAACATCCTACACATTTCTTTCAATTATATCTCAAAAAAATGCGCGTTAAAAAATATAACAGTGTTTTATTGAAAAGACATTTATAAAATTGTCCATATTAAACACATCAGGCTGATAATCTTTCAATATTAACAACAATTTGGGTTTCCAATGATCACAAACCGTTTCTGATACGCTAGTACTTTCCCCGATACAACTTTTGATTTATTCCGTGTCGTCTTTTAAATTTGTCCAAGTTGCTTGAAAATTATCAAGAATCAACATTTTTAAATATTCAATTGCTTTTTCTTTAATAAATGGTCCTGAGACCGGCACATTTTGTCTTCGCATCATTGTTATCCACTTTAACAGTGCTTTATCTATAGAATTAAACTTGCACTGTTTTAACTTTTTTCTTCCCTTTTTCGCACACTACTTAAAACTGTTTCCCGATTTTAAAAGAAGAACAAAGAACTAAGGAGCCAGAAATTTTTAAATTCACGTTAATATAGTAGAAATGATCAGTGATTATAACCGCAAATTTTTACATTGAACAGCTGTTGTGAAATCCATTATTAAACAGAAGAGCAAGCAATTTAATGCATGTATCTGCTGGATACATACGCGCCTAACGGAGAGTTAAATTAAATCTAATTTTAATGTTTTTAGTCACCAACAACAAAATTTACAACCAGCTGTAGAAGAAAACTGGGATACAGTTAACAAAAAAGAAATAAAAATGCCCGTTTTAAAATTAAATCTTCCGCCCGATTGTGTTATTTTAGTAGATAACCCTGAAGGTTTTCGAACATTTTTAGATTACATTAAAACGGAAACATTAATCGGTGTCGATTGCGAATGGAAACCATCATTCGGTGTTCAAAGAAACGAATTAGCTTTAATGCAAATCGCTTCAAGAAGAGCTGTTTACATTCTAGATACGATAAGTCTCGCTCATCAAGCTAATTTATGGCAAGAATTGGGCAAAACTGTGTTCAATAATTGTGATATATTAAAATTGGGTTTTTCATTTACCGGTGACACCTCCATGATTCTCCAATCGCTTCCAAGTTTATCGTTCAATCAAAACGGGGGCTTTTTAGATTTGTTAACACTTTGGAAACAAATCGACAAACACCCAAAAGTGAAATTACCGTTTGAGGTTCATTCCGGTGGTCCTAGTTTGGGCATGTTAGTACAAATTTGTCTTGGGTATGTTTTGGATAAATCCGATCAGTTCTCAAATTGGGAAAGACGACCTTTAAGACAAAGTCAATTGCATTATGCGGCTTTGGATGCGTATTGTTTGATTCAAGTTTTTGATGTGTTAAGGCGTTGTTCGGAATCTGTTGGATTTCCTTTTGAGGATACTTGTTATCATTTGATGACCGTTTCTAAAGGGAAAAAGAAAAAATCGCGTACAAATATTGGGGTTGGTAACTTCATAAAAAAAATATTTACATTAAAATAAATATTAAGAAAAAATTATTTTTTTTTAATAGAAATCAAAAGATGGTCCAAGAATTAATCCCCAACCTCCAAGTCCGCATTATGAACCAAAACCAGCCGAACAAGTCAAATTTGTCTGCGATTCAATGTTACAGGGTTTAGGAAAAAATTTGAGACGTTGTGGAATCAATACTGCAATTCTCGAGAATAACGAAGACCATCAAGAATGTGTAAGATTCTATCAAGATGAAAGGAGATTTATATTAACACGTGGAACAGTTTTTAATACCGTAAGTTAATTTAGACAACTTCTAAATTACCATTTCTATATAAATACCAAGGCTTTCACAGCCAGTGTTAATTGAACTTAAACTATTACTACAACTAACATTAATAATAATCATAATTTTTATTGCTCAATTTAGCTCTCGATTTACGCCATTTCACAATTATGCCGCTACGTAATTTGCTGTGTGAATCCCCGATGTCTCGATCGGTCTTTCCCCCTATACTGAACAGACCTGCCCTAAAGTCTTTAAACTTGACTTCATCAAATGTTACTACAATTATGGAAAATATAAATAACATTAGAAGTACGGGAAGTTAGCTCCTCATTTTTTATTTTTAAATTTTTCATTGCTGTGCTAGATTGTTCTAGAGTTGTTCTACATTGTTCCAAAGCGGCAAATAGAGAAAATAAAAACTCGGCGAGAAAAACCGAAAAAACGTTTTTTTGACTAGCTCCCCATTTTTGGGAATATCAACTTTTCTTTGTTGTTCTGGGTTATTCTAGTTGTCCTAGTTATTGTTCTAGAAAATCAAAATTATGGGATACATCATTACGAAGTTATAACTAAAAATAGGTTTGGTTGCTAAAATGTTTAGTTGATTGCTGTAACCATAGTTTTTCTATTTTCAATTCTATATTACAAATATACAGGTGTATCTGAATGACTGCAACAAACTTCAAGGGGTGATTCTTTAGTGAATTTTAAGGGTACTTTGATATATGAATCATGGGCGACTTCGGCTCCCCTAAGGAGCTACACCCCTCCAAAAATGGCGGAAAATTTTGGTTTAATTTTTTTTTCTCAAAAACTATAAACGCTAGGAAAATGAAATTTGGGGAATATGTTTAACTCATAATAGGGCACGTTTTGACCCTATTTGTACTTTCAACCTGCCCTTATGAGTTAAACATATTCCCCAAATTTCATTTTCCAAGCGTTTATGGTTTTTGAGAAAAAGAAATTAAACCAAAATTTTCCGCTATTTTTGGAGGGTGTAGCTCCTTAGGGGAGCCGAAGTCGCCCATGGTTCATATATCAAAGTACCCTTAAAATTCACTAAAGAATCACCCTTGAAGTTTGTTGCAGTCATTCAGATACACCCTGTATACTTATTATATCTAAAGCAATCTGGAACAGCTACTATTTTCACTAGAACAACTCTATAAAGGACACTTTACTCTTTGAAAATTAAAGTTTTCAGAAGGTTGAGTCAATAATTCTTGCGTCAGTGGTTTTCAATTACACATTAAGAATTAAAACACATAGAACAATTCAAATAACTCAAACTTTGCTGATTCAAATTGTTCTAGATATAATTGTTCAAATAGACTAAGAACACGGACATTAATTTTGCAAAATCATATCTTCCTTAAAATACAGCAAAATGCAGACCTAAAAAGAAAAATAATAAATCAACAAATGAATAATCCACCTATTCGATCAGAAAACAAAAATACACTATTTGTGTTATACATTATGTATTAAAAACTAAATATCTCTGTGTCCCCGCCCACACAGAGATATATATCCTATATATTTATATATACTACATTTGTTCCCATATATTAATAAAATAAAATATTAAAATTCGGATGAAGAATTATACAGGTTTCCCAAAAGTAACGGATAAATTCGTTAAAACAACTAATAACAGTTTATGGAGATATCGCTGAGACGGGTCTAAGGATTTCTATTTTTTGCAATTTTTTGGTATAGATTTCAAATTTTTTCCGCCATTTTTAAACAAGTTTTGACGTCATCGCTATTTTTTTCAAATAGCCCCATCTGTATTATGGAATATGAAAGAGGATTTTTTCTAAATTTGGTACCGCCAAAATTGATATTAGCTACATAATAAAATTTTCGAAAAATATTGCCTTGAAGTTTCATGATTCATTTGAAGTAGAAAAATAGCAGTAGCCATACGTAACCATGGCAACCAGTTGTTTCAGATACTTTATTAAGACAATGATTAATTTTTAATATCTGAAACTGTTGGTTGCCATGGTTAGCTACTGCTATATTGCTATCTCAATTGAATAGGACATGTTCAATAGGATTGAGGTCAGGACTTAACGCCAGACATTCCATGATCTGAATTCCACGTTCTTGCAAAAAGTTTCTGGTGATGCTGGCGGTATGCGGCTTTGCATTGTTCTGCATTAGGATGAAATTTTGAGCGACCCCATATGAAGCAGGCACCACATGGTTCTCCAAGATATTTTCGATGTAATTCATGGCATTTAGTATACCAGCAATAACAACAAGATCAGTTCTGTTGTCTATAGTGATTCCAGCCCAAACCATAACAGATCCCCGACCAAATCTATTCACTTCCTTTATTGTAGCGGCTGCGTAGCGTTCACTAGGACGTCTATATACACGTACTCGACCGTCGCAACGAGTTAAACGAAATCTGGACTCGTCTGTAAACAGTACAGGCGTCCAGTGACGAAGTTGCCAATCTCTGTGATCCAGAGCAAACCTCATTCGCGTTGTTTTTGTAGTTAGGTTTTGTGTTGTCATTCATGCTGCGTAAGGCGTGGTTCGCGGACAGGTGTTCTAGGTTTCAAATTCGCTTCTTTTAATCTGTTTCTAACAGTTTGATCAGTTTTGATTATGGAAATTTCTATTCCATGTGCTCGTCTTAGGTGATTTAGGAGGTGTCGTGCTGTGGCAGTACGCGTACATAGACAGGAAAGGACAAGAAATCGGTCTTGATTTTGAGTAGTTTTTCGTTTTCGTCCTTGTCCAGCTTTTCTAACATGTTGGCCAGTCTTCCGAAACCGATTCCATAAACGCTGAATAACAGAAGGGGAAACTCGAAGATCCGTGTCGAACAGAGTGGCCATGCTGAATAAGGGCGACAGCACGAGCAACTAGCACTTCACTAAGATGCCTCATGACGCTTCGAATCAACGAAAATTGACAACTGAATTCATTTGTCATTTTTAGTAGGCTTTCATTCGCGAATTCAAAGCATACTTGTCTTTTGCGTTATTAATTTACATTTTTAAGTGTAACTTGAAAGTAACTGAGAGTTGTAACATTGTTTTTGCAATTTTCTTTAGTTAAATATATGCCGTTGAAGTAAACCAAATTTAATTTGTCTAGAACTATTTATTATTTAAAAAGTAACAGTATTTAAGAACTTTTATTTCTAGTGAAGAGCTGCTCCAGGTTTTAAAGTTGCGAAAGATAGAATAACTCTTTTGCTAGGAATGAACGTTTCAGGAACCTTGAAACTTAAACCGATGTTAGTTACCATTTTACTGGAAGTTGAACAAGAAACTTGGGTCACACAAGCTATTTTCACATATTAGTATACAAATTATTTTTGCTCTACTGTGCTTCGATTTTGTGAAAAAAAAATGAATTAACACCCAAGGTACTTCTTCACTTGGACAATGCTCCAGGACATCCTCAAAACTTGGACGAAATCATAACACCATTGGCTGTCAAAGTTGTTTACATGCATCCAAATACATCACTTTTGCAGCCAATGGATCTGGGGTTAATGCAATCTTTAAGGCATACCATCTCCGCAATATTGGAAATGGTGAGAGTTTTGGACACATCAGATAAAACAGTCAAAGACTATTGGCGGTCTTTCGATATTTTAAAATGCATTCATAATGAAAAGTCGGCTTGGGATGAAGATTTTGGAAAAATGGAAATGAAGAATTTAAAAGATTTTATTTGGCTTTTATTTTTATTACTCTTCTTAATTTCGTTTACGCTGAATTGCTCTTTGGGTCTCTTCGTTGCTAGATACTTCTTTACAGATTTATCTGTAGTGTCGTTGCTGAACTTACCGACGTATAACCTATGCCTTTTTCTTTGCAGCTCATAAAATTGAGGTTTCTGATATCTCAACTTTACCTGTAATTATGTTATTTTCAGTTTTTCGATTAATATTATTATTAGAATTAGCATTTTTATATTTTTTATAGCTAAATGGTTACGTGACTCCTGGTCATTGTTTTAACGTACAAAGTGAAGACGTAGACGAACAATTAAAGAAAGTTTTAGAATATTTTAATGTAACGGTAACGAAAGATGACGTGTTCAGTAGGTGCCAAGTAAATAAACCTAATAATAATAATAAAACTTTAATTAGTCTAAATATGCTTTTTTAGTCTTGCAATAGTAATTCTTTCGTGAAAATATCAAAATCGACCATAAATGCTATAGCTTTAGAAGATTCGAAAGCTAGACAACTTGAGTATGCGGAAGCAATCGATTTAGCTGACGAAGCGACTGGATTTTCTAGCGAAGATGACGATTTTTGTCCACCGCCGATTTCATATACAAGGAAATGGGAAACTTGTGAGATAAATTTCGAATATTATAAAAAATGATTTTGAATGTTTTTTTTTTTAAGGTACTGAAGAGAAAATTGATTTTGGATTGTGTATGACAAGAAACGGTGCTAAAATTCAAATTAGGGATGTACCTGAAGGGATCTTGAATAAGCACGACATCTTTTATATTTGTGAAGATTGTGGAAAGGTGTATTGGGACGGAACGCATTTTGAAAGGGTTCTTGCAAATCGTCTACAAGGGATTGTTATGAAATAATTATTAATGTAATTATTATAATTAATTAATAATACTGGAATAATGGTTATTTAAAATTTGACTAAAAAATTAATTAATAAATTTTATATTCCAAAGTTTTATTTGTTGGTTATACAAATGACATTAACTAAATATGTTATATTACAAAATACAATAAGAAATTTTTAATAATGGCTTTAACATAAAAGGAAAGATAAATTAAATTACATTTTTTACATTTTATAAAAATAAATTTAAATCAAAAATAAGTTGGTAGCACTGATATATAAATTAAAATAATTAACTATGTAATTATCGTTATATTTAAATTAATTTCTTATTAAATCAAAATAATATAAAAATTATTATTTATAAAAAAGAAATTTAAAAATAAATAAATAAAATTACATAAAGTCGGTAACGTAGCAACTCTATTAATCAACCAATACGTGCACGAGATTGACATTTCGGCAACTGTCAAATTTCAAAATATGACAAAAATAGAATTTCTAATTAAAAAATGCTGATTGGTACTGATGTAGGACAGTGTCGTGGTATTTTCTTCATCGTTACGCGCTATTAAACGGCTGTTATGCCTATAAATATCCCAGGTTTGATAACGACACATTGTTAAGAGAGAACACAACAAGTACACATGTGTGACAATGGTAGTGGCATACAGGACTCATAGCCTTTTTTATTTTGGAAAAACTATTCATTTCCCGAAAACTGTTCAATTAACAAATGGAAAGCGATCGATTTATTGTTGGGGAAACGGTTTGCACCGTCTTCAATTCATTGGCGAAAACAAGAACAATTTGAGGTTATGTGGCTGTCGGCACTATCATCCGAAAGAGACTAGGCCTATGCTAGCAAAGTTAACACCACAAGAGGTAAGGTTTTTTTTTATATTCGCTACGAAGTTAATCTATAAATAAAGACGTCAATAAATCGTATAAATATATTCAACATAAGTGTAAAGTTCATGTTTAGTATTGTTGATGTTAATTAATAATTGCTGATTGAAGCGATTGGTATTTCATATGTGTAAGAAATCGTTCTATTATTTTAAATATTATGAAGCAAGGTAATAATTATTGCAATTATAAAATTATAAATGATGAAGAAAACATTACTCATATTGATAATCAATTGAAAACTAATTATTATAATTCTTCACCTTAGTAAGTATCAATGAAACACTATGTTGTAATTACCATATTTTGTAAGAGAGTACATATACAGGGTGTGCCAAATGTCTTGAATATAGCCAATAACTTCGCCATTTGTGGTTTAAAAAAAAAATGTTTCAAATAAAAAATTCTTTATTAATTGTGGCGCATTTTTTGGCGATATTTACTTGTTTGTATTGCTTTTTGTTTCGTTGCTATGGCAACCGACATTGTTATTTTAAATTGGATGCATATGTTTTTTTTGCATACTTTGACAGAGGATAAATCCCTCTATGTGATGAATGTATCCAATCATATAGTTATATAAGAAAAAGATCGAGAAAAAATGCGTTTTCTGAAAATATGAAAGCAGCAGAATCTGATGATTGATATCCAGTGGAAAATTATTAAGACAATTATGGAAGAGGCAGCAGGGAAAGTATTTGGAATAGTTGAGGAGCCATAAAGAAAACTTGGTTTGACTAATAAATATTAGTCAAAATTAAATACTAGACTATAAAGCAGAAACTGATTTGGGAATGGACAACAGGCTACCACACCAATAAGATGAGAATGCCATGGAGCCTATGTCCATCACTGAGGTTCAGAATGCAATTACTGTGTTAAGAAATGGAATGGTATCAGGGATTGATGGCATACCATCAGGGCGATGAAGTACTTATCAAGGTGGATGGCTAAGAATATTTACGCAATACTGTAGAAGATCTGGGAAGAAGAAAATTTACCTAACGAATGGAAAAAACCATAAGGGTTTTATAATAAGCGCTGCCGCGCGGTATTTGGACGTCATCACGCGCGGTATGTTTGCTTCTCGTGAACATTTTTAGTAAGTGCGCACCGTAATATGTTCCATATACACAAAAAAGAAACTAGGAAACTACCTAATCCAAACTATTCTGAACCAAAAGCTGCAAATTTGAATCAAATAATAAGTATTGCCTTTGTCGACGTAGATCGTATATAGATTGTAGATTGCAATATTCTATCAATAGATAAAACTCTACAAGATCCTAAGATACTTTGATATCCCAGCAAAACTGATACAGCTTATACAGACTATAAGAGATGTAGTGAAGCATGTTTACATATTATGCTCTTTTGGATCTCATATTGTCTGAAACAAGAAGATGAGTTGGCACCCACCCTGTTGAACCTGACTAACAGATAAGGAACAAGTAAGTGATAAGTTCAGGTCAACTAGTATGTCAACTATAAACATAATGAATCGAATACTACACGCGGCAAAGGGGGCATAAGAATCTGAAAAAGAATGCTAAAACCGGGTTCAAAAACCAGGTGCCACTTTTTGCATACCTTGAGGTGAAATTATCAAGACGCATGCAGAGGAATAAAATGGCAGAAGGAGTTCCATTTTACCGAATACTGAGACACTAAAATTCGTTTATATAAAACAATCATTAGAATTATAAGTTATGGTAGTGAATCATGGACGTTCATTCGGAACTCGGCAGAAATTGTAAATATTTTTAAAGAAAGATACTGTATTTGACTGGGACGCCAAAGAGATTATCAGGGGCAGAAACTGGAAAAAAGGGGCCAAAGATAGGGAAAATTAGAGGCAAAGGTTGAGGGAGGCCAAGGCTCAATATGGGCTGTAGAGCTGTAAAGAGAGAGAATAAAAGTGGTAAAATACGATGCGTTAAAATTAAATCGATTTGATCACTTCTTTCGATTGAAAATGCTCATATGTCAGATTACAGGATGATAACTTTATCGCAAATATTTCAGCAGGTGGACATCACGTGGAAGGAATTATCAAGGACACATTTGATTCCTGAGCATCCTACATTGCAATATTTTTCTCACTGGAAGTAGATTTACAATAGTCCTGACATTATCATAACGTTTATTGGCTTGCCTGCCAAGAAACTCTGATTGCACCGTTGAACCTAAGATATAAGGTTTAGGTAAAGTCCTTTGTCAACAAATGGGGCTTCACTGCGTGATCACCAAAGGAGTTTCTATATATCTTTAATCCTCCTGCGTTGAGACCCCTCCATATGCAACTTCCAACGGTGTTGGAAACGCCTTTTCCATTTATTCCAATATGAATTCGTTTCGAATAACACGTCTAAAATTGTTTGGCGTGAGGGCTAGTATGTCCACCCTAAGGCGATCTACTGCTCTTTCCATCCGTACGATTTGAGAATTCTTATAAGAACTGGTTCGAGCTGTTGGTGCGTAAAATAAAAAAATCACATCGTAACCGACGAGGAGGAACATGCAAGTCAATTCTTTAGAGAAGATATGGGGAGTCGCAGTAACTATTGACTAACCTAAGCAAGAAGCAAACGTCACTACAATATCTACGTTGCTGAAGCATGGGCATATGATAGATTTGGCAGACAAATAAATAATCTGTATAAGGATGACGAAATCGATAGGAAAGGTATTTCAGAAACCTAATCTGAACTCACTCTATTCTATTAACATAAATATCATAAGGAGGATTCCGAAACATAAAATACTGTTTACAAAGGCATGATGCATAGAAATTATAAGCAATGCGAATCCCAGCATCCTAGCTAAGCTCTAGCCACAAGTTCATCAAGTCTTTAATAGAATCGACGTTATGCAGTACACTAGACCTGCGCTCATAATCGAATTTAATGAATTGTTATGACACTTCGATATATTTAAATGTAATTATTATTTTCGCAGTAATCATAAAATTATTCAGGTCGGTTTGAATGGTAATGCAATCCTAGAGATTACTAATTGGAGAAAAAAATTTAAAGCCATCAGTATACATGAGATATCTGGAGTTAGGAAAAGATTTAGCTATATCTCCTATGTAGATTATAAACAAAATCGGCCCCAAATGACTGTCTTGAAGTACCCAGAAGTCATAACAATATGGTCAGACGAGTGTCCACCAAACATGAACACTTTAACAAGATACCCGCAACTCCTATGCGTTCCAGTTTTAAGAGTACTAAATTGTGATCAACCTTATCAAAAGCTTTGCTGAAATCTGTATAAACGTCCAGGTGGATGCTACCTGGACGTTCTTATCAAGATTTGAAAACGGAAATCAGTATACTCTAACAGAACGACCAGGCTAGAAACTGTGTTGTTCCACACCAATAGATGACTTAATTTGAAAAAATAGTCTATTATAAATAAGTTTTTCCAAAAATTTTTCTATTATTGGTAGAATGGATATAGGGCGGTAGTTGTTTACAAGACTTCGATCGTCAGACTTAAAAGTAAGAGTAATTTCAGACTGTTTCCATACAGAAGGAAAGACGCCGTAGCGCAGTGACATATTAAATATTAACCATACAGGTTTCGCGAGTGCTTGAGAGTAGTTGCTAATAAAAGTTGCAGGTGTGCCGTCTAGACCCGGACTCTTAGGTGTGGCTACACCATCAATAACCTCTTTAACCTCCAGAAAATCAAAACAGTCAATGGAAACCATACTATGAATTTAACCCCCCTCAGGATATACACCAATAACTGGTGTTACGAATACCGAACCGAAATAATCGGAGAAAAGAGCACAGACTTATTAGCAGAGGAAATGGCATTATGATGTATAACCGCCAGCACGCCAACATCATCTCTTTTCTGTTTCGCATATGCCCAAAATTGTTTTGCGACAGAGGCAATCCTTATATCGTTTCCATTTTCTATTTTTCTGTTATTATGTCTTATTGTAATGCACGAAATCATAACCGATCAAAATGATCAAAGCAAGATGAAGTATCTTCAAGAAACCAGTACAGTTAACAGATTTCGCAACCTTCTAAGAGTGTAAACACCAGATTTATTGAATATGACCTTAAGGTACAATAGATAAACTCCATTGTATGTGGAGTGTGCTGTGTATTGTGGACTACAATCGTAACAGATTGTGTTGGAATGAATCATTTCTTTGAATCTGTCTTTCTGCTGTTACCTTATCTCTAAATTCAAAATTGTTATGAGTTCTAATGCTTCTAGTGAATGATAGATGGCGCTATAGGTTGCGCATATTATAGACTGATATTGGATTGAGTTCGTATTTTCATTCCAAAACATACACTATTTTTCCAATAAAAATCAGTGGAGAATAATTTGATAATGAATTGATAAAAATTGAAACTCTACATAATAATTAAAATTGTCTACGAAATATGAATAGAATTAATTAGATGAATGACAAATTATTTACATTATAATCTACGTAGTTTACAATGTTAAACTCACACACAATAACATAATAATTCAAAAACCTTCACCTTAACAATTCCAAAAACCTTCCTTGGCAAACAAAAAATATGAGATAAGAAAAATGGATTTGACACCAACCTAGTTATTTTATGAGAACAATTCAGTATACACGTTTTATGCTTTAAAAATGTTATTTATTTTATTGCTTTTCGCTGTAAGTAGAACAAAATTATAAATCAATAACTTATTGATTAATAATAAATTATAGGTCCAACAAATTGATGGTTTTTCAAAACCGAATTGTGAATACGCCGGATTATCTTGTTACGATTGTTATTCGCGAAAACAATGTATAAATTTCTTCGGATTAACACATTGGACAACGGAAATATGTGGAAGTGGGTTAACTGGGGAAGCAAATATTTATTGCGACCCTTCTACTGATAAATGTACTTCGACGCCATTTGATGGCTGTGCATCTATTTCGCGGTTTAATTGTCTTCGGGAGGGTTTATTACCACACA